TTTTAAAACCAATTTGCAATTTGTTTGGCTTTTTTTTTTTTGTTTCTTTTTGGGGAAATTACCAGGGAGTTTTTAAAAAAATATTACACATTAGCAAATTTTTTTTTTATAAATTTAATAATTAATATATATCATTTTTTTATAATTTTTTTTCTGACATAAACTATGATGTAATTCTCCGTTTCTTTTTTCTATTTGAATTTAAATTTTTTTTGCCTTTATTTTTTTTTTTTTTTTTTTTTTTTTTTTTTTTTTTTGTGGATACAAATTTTTTTTTTTTAAGTTACAATTTTTTTTGCTTATGGTTTGATAAATTGATTTGTTTAATTACAATTTTCTTCCCTTTCAATTTTACTTTTGATGCATTTAAGCCAGTTTTGAAAAAATCAAAGCATGTATTATTTGTTTGATTTTAATTTTAAAATTAATCTTTTTTAAAAAATATAATTTAGTATGATAGATTAATTGTTTTATTATAATAAAACAAGAATTAATGAGACTCTTACATATATGAAATAAATAAATAAATAAATAGACTAACACAACAGACACCTCTGGAGTGTAAAAAACAAATAAATAAAACTAACTTTTGTAAGTCTATAGAAACGGCGGCAGAAACCATTACATATAAATTAAAAAAAAAAAAAACAAAGAAGTGACAAAACGGTGCCGTTTTGAGGCACACAGCAGGCACAGCAGGGACATTACACAGCAGGAGCCCCGTGTCTTTATCCTTCATGTGTTTCTTTCCATTCATAACTAAAATGACCACTATATAAATCATAATCAAGCAACACATGTTTAATTATAAAAATAAAAATAAAATTACAATAGGTCATAACTAATATCAGAATGAGTCATAACTAACTATTATTTGATATATAGTCATAACTAAAACAAAAACCACAAGAAATTATAACTAAATTATATCTAACACTATAATGTGTTATAACTAAAGACCACGAAGATCATAATTGTGACATATGATAAACATTTTTTTTGCGATATGTTTTATAGAATTTCTCTACTAAAATATATCATTTCTGTCTCAACGTATCTTCTTTTTTAATTTTCCAATCCATCTATAAAATAGTTACTCCCCAAAATTTGTATAAAATTTAATCTCAAATCCTTTAATTTAAAATTCACATTTATCCAAATGAACTCTTAATATTTAAGTTTAGTAATATCTCATTATTGTTTATTATGAAAAAAAAAATTAATCAGTGTGTTTAGTTTGAGTTTTTTAGATTAAGTTTTTTGAAAATTGAGTTTTTTGATTTTCGTGTTTTTTTTTTTTTATTTTTAGTGAATATTTTTAAAATTTTAAACATTTTTTTTACTTTTTTAGATGCGCCTTACTTAGATGTATCTAAAAAGTAAAAAAAAAAATTGTGAAAAAATATTTTAAAAAATTAATAAATACATAAAAATACAAAAAATGTATTGAATTCTCGTATTTTATTTTATATTTTTGGTATTTAATGAATTTTTGAAAGGTTTTTTTCACAATTGTTTTACTTTTTAGGTATATTTATGTAGGTATGTCTAAAAAGTAAAAAAAAAATGCTTAAAATATTTTAAAAAATCAGTAAAAATAAAAAAATACGAAAAATAAGAAAGTAGAATTTTTTGAAAAATGTTTTTAGAAAAATGGAACCAAATTATCATTAATTTGTGCCCCCTCTACTCTAAATTCCTGGCTACACCACTGGTTATAGAGATGTTGTGTAGTAAAACTAATATAGATGAAATAAAATAGAATGATCATTCCTTAGTCATCTAATAAAATGCCATTTGCTTACAATGGTGAATAATAATTTTAGGGTAAATTAAACTGACACCCCCTGAGATTTATGTTTATTACAGTTCCCCCCTTCACCTTTTGGAAATTACATGTTCCCTTAAGGTTTAAAGTTTCATTACAGATTCCCCTCTTAGCAATTTAATTTTTTTAAATATCAATTTTGCCCTCATTGGGTAAATTACATTGACATCCTTCACATTTTAGAAATTACAATCCCCTCCCTAAAGTTTAAAGTAGCATTACCAATATAGATGAAATAAAATAGAATGATCATTCCTTAGTCATCTAATAAAATGCCATTTGCTTACAATGGTGAATAATAATTTTAGGGTAAATTAAACTGACACCCCCCGAGATTTATGTTTATTACAGTTCCCCTTTCACCTTTTGGAAATTACATCTCCCTCTTAAGGTTTAAAGTTTCATTACAGATTCCCCTCTTAGCAATTTAATTTTTATAAATACCAAATTTACCCTCATTGGGTAAATTACATTGACATCCTTCACATTTTAGAAATTACAATCCCCTCCCTAAGGTTTAAAGTAGCATTACCAATTGCCCCCTCGGTTAGTATTAGTTGGAAAAAAAATTCATTGAAAAAAAAAATTAGGAAAAAAATTTATTTGAAAAAAATAATAAATTGAAAAAAAAATTTGTTAGTAAAAATTTTAAATTTCTGTTTAAAAACCAACATAAACTTATTTTTTGAATTTACGTTTTTTCCTCAAATTTACAAACTGAGACAACTATTTATAAACCAAAGAAAATATCAAACAAGTTTTTATGATAGTTTTTTAAATTTTTGTAAATATAAATTGAAAATTGAAAACGAAATGGTTACCAAACAGGCTTCAGATGGTAACAATGTCGTAAAATTAACAAATAATTAAATAAGTTACCAATATAAGAAATGACTTATTAAAAGATTCTTAGGCTATGTATGGTTTGATTTTTAGAAAAAAAAAATTTAAAAATTAAAAATTAATTTGGTTAAGAAATAAAAAATATAAAATAATTATCATTTTTATATAATTTTTATCTTTCGAGTGGTTAGAAATAATTTTTTACAAATTAAATTGAAATAGCCATACGTATGTATATAACCTGTCCAAAAGTTAAAATGATAATTATTTTTTGCCCTTAAATGATAATTATTTTTTATTTTTTTTATTTCTTAACCAAATTAAATTTTATTTTTTTAAATTTTTTTCTAAAAATCAAACCAGACATAGCCTAAGGATCTTTTGATAAGTCATTTCTTACGTTGGTAACTTATTTAATTATTTGTTAATTTTACGACATTTTTACTATTTGAAGCCTGTTTGGTAACCATTTTGTTTTTAGTTTTCAATTTATATTCACAAAAATTTAAAAAACTGTCATAAAAACTTATTTGATAATTTTTTTAGTTTATAAATGGTTGTCTTAGTTTATAAATTTGAGGAAAAAACATAAATTCAAAAAATGAGTTTACGTTGGTTTTTAAACAAAAATTTAAAAATTTTACTAACAAATAATTTTTCAAATAATTTTTTTTCCAATTAATTTCTTTTTTCAATGAATTTTTTTTTCTAACTAATACTAACCAATGGGGCAATTGGTAACGCTACTTTAAACCTTATGGAGGGGATTGTAATTTCTAAAATGTGAGGGGTGTCAATGTAATTTACCCAATGAAGACAAAATTGGTATTTAAAAAAATTAAATTGCTGAAGAGGGAATTTGTAATGAAACTTTGTGCCATTTTGGGAACATAGTAAAAAGCCACGTTTTTTGACATAAAATGCAACAAAATTTCTTTTGAGAAGTGCCAAAAACGCAGTCCTAAAATTACAAATTAAGGCCTATGAAAAAAAATAAAAAAATAAATCTCCTATGTTGGGTAAGGGTATTTTGGCCATTTTAATTTGATTTGACACCAGAAATAAATATTAAACTAAAAAGCAAAAGGTCAACTTTTTACCAACTTTCCAAATTACTTCCAAAAAAGTCAAAAAGTTTGGTAAAAAGCCAAAAGCCAGCTTTTTACCAACTTCTCAAAACAACCCTTTAAATCTCAGGGAGGAGATGTAATTTTCAAAAAGTGAGGGGGAACTGTAATAAATGTAAATCTCATGGGGTGTCAATGTAATTTATCCATAATTTTATGGGAAATTTACCAATAAATCCCATTTCACAAACTATTAAACCAATTAGTCCCAACTTTATTCTTTTGTTCGGATAAGTCCTATTAGTGGGGAAGTTTATTTCTTGTTGGTCCTATTTTTCATATTTAGTTGCTTCTCAACGTGACCGTACAGAGGAGCCTTGGGGCTGTGCAGGTGTTGATTTCGCCTGAATCGACGGTCGGTGATCTGATTGCGGCGGTTCTCCGGCAATACGCCAAGGAAGGCCGGCGATTGATCTTGCCTTCCACAGATCCCTCCGGCTTCGATCTCCATTATTCGCAATTTAGCTTAGAAAGTAAGCTATCTCTCTCTCTCTCTCTCGATTATGCAATTTGGATTGAAACGATTCTAAAGTCGAGATGAAGACGTGAAGTGTGAAGATTGGTAGGCGTTTTTGACTATGGAACAGGTTTAGATCGGGAGGAGAAGCTGGCGGCGTTGGGATCGAGGAACTTTTTTCTTTGCCCGAAGAAGTACGCACCCGACGCTGAAAGCGGAGGTTGCGTGACGACGGCGTCGTGTTCTAAAGAAGCTGAAAAAGCAAACAGGATTGGACTTCCATGGCTCAAGTTCTGATTCTGATTCTCATTTGATTACAGCCTATTGTTCTCTCATCATCACTGTGAAATTTAGGCGGTGCACGAACCGGCGGCTCAGGAAGATCTGATCGGTCAGCAGCGGCGTGTATCTGTCTGTGTGTATCTGTGTGTGTCTGTCTGTGTGTATCTGTGTGTGTGTATCTGTGTGTGTGTGTATTTGTCTGTGTGTGTCTGTCTGTGTGTGTATATGTGTGTGTGTGTGTCTGGCTGTGTGTATCTGTGTGTATATATATGTGTGTGTGTCTGTCTGCCCCTCACAATGTATGTGTGTATCTGTGTGTGATAGGAGAAAGATGGGACTAAACGGTTTAATAGAATAAAAATGGGACCAATTGGTTCATAAGTTCAAATTTTGGGATTTATTGGTAAATCTCCCAAAATTTATTTGTATTGCAATTTTTATCATTTTTTCAATAAACCAAATAAAACATAGATATTTTTTTTTGATAATCGGGTGCACTTCAACTAATTCTGAAAAATTAATTTTACTGTTCACTTGCAGGCCCCACTTAAAACCAAGGAGAAAGCTCAATATGATGTGATCCCAAAGAGTTTATTGGTGCTAACGTGGATATTGAACTTAAACACCTTTAAATTCCAAATTTTGCCCATTAAAGGAGCCATTGAGGTTAAAACATCGACATTTTAATAGATTAATCATAGTCTACTAAACCAATTCAAACCCTAGCCCTTATCGGACAATATCAGCAGATTATTTGATAAATAGCATTATCAAAAGTTCAAGTCGATGATTAGTACATATGTATATGATCACGAGCGAGCCAACTACGCATCATCGCTCGTTGATACTCTGGATGATTAATCAGCTGTATGTACATGAACAAAGTACATATATGTTATCTAAGTGTGTACATGAGTTCATATATACAGAAAGAACATACATAACAAAAATGGTTGAGTTGAGGCAATATGAGGGAACAAGGAACGAGTTCTACGGTTTCTATGTCGAACTTTTAAATCATTTTAAAGAATGTCAAATACTCATCTCCACGATCAGGCCGTCCTCCGTATTCATATTCTATACCTTCACCAGAATTCCCCACCATTATCATATTCAGACTAAACTTCCCACGTTCTCCCATTTCTCTCTCTCTTTTCACTCTCATAGTTAGTCATGGTTTAATTATAACCACAGATTAATCATGGTTAGTTACCTCATAATCATTGGAGTAAGACTGTTAATCATTCCAATGATTGCATGTTTAGAAAGGTCTATGATGGTTCAAGGCTATGAAAGCTGGGTGGTCTTTATTTTAATCCACCATTGCATGAACTTGGCCCATCTCTTAGTTGTACTTTGCCAGGTGTTGGCCCCACAGTGGACTCCCTCATATATTATTTAGTTACAGAGAATGAATTAGGACCTACCCCCTGAATAATGATTATGAATTAAAAATTCTAATATTGCCTCCGATTTGTATTGTACAATTGTTTATAATTTTTTTATATTTTAAAATTTTATATCAGACTGTAATTGTTTTTATAATTTATTAGAGTAAAATAATTTAAATAATTTGATTATGTACTTTTGATTTATATATTTTAATTATCTGATTTCAGTGTATAAAGCATTTAGAAAGAATTGCACTAATCAAGCACATAATCAATATCCTAATGATCAAGTCAATCCTCACTAACTTTCTCTCTAACCTTTTGGTATAAATATGTCTCCAATATTTCGTTTACATCAAGCCTTGTAAAACTTCCATAGCCAAAAACCCACAAGTAGAATCTCCTTTGAGAGAGAGAGAGAGAGAGAGATGGAGGCTGTGGGAGCTTTTCTTGAAGAAGAATGGGAGTCATTGAGCAGAATGTTCTCCTCAGAAGAAGCTGATTTCGTGGCGCATTTGCAAGGTCACGATAAGCGCGACAACAACAGCTTCATCTTTGGAACTTCATCACCAACTGTTTGGCCCATTGATGATGAAGCTAATTATAATGTGAACACCATGTATGGGGTTGATGAGAGTTTTCTCTATTCCTCTGATACTCTAGGCTCTAATTTTCACTATTTTTCTCAAGAAAGTAGTAACAGCAGTGGTAGTAATAATGTCTTTTTTCCAACTCCCAGCCAAGAAAACCACTGCTTCAGTGATTCTAACCAAGAAACAAACAATAGTCTTCAGTCCATGGATTTTGGTGCAATGGACATGGAAAATAATAACTCGTCTGTTCCATTTTTTCCTGATAATGATGTAATGGGAGACATTCTATACTCGAAAGAAGAGATAGGAAGTGACAATTTGGGAAATAAATTAGACGGTCAACCAGCTATTGCTGGTCCTGGCAATGATCTGCCGCAGAAGAGGAAGATTGATGCGCCAAAAATCTCTTCGGATGAGACTCCTAAGAAGAAATCTCGGGTTTCAAAAGATGTAAGTGCTCTACAAACTAGTCTCTAGTTATATTATAGAACCGTTCACAGAACACTCATAGGCTTATAGGCCCCAAAATATTCAGTGTCTGATTCCATGACCTAATTCTAATAATAATAACACGATATTAGCACACAAAAAGGTAAGACAAAACCAATCACTAAACAGGAGTATAGGTCCCACTACCAAAGTGTTCACTGTCTGGTTCTGTAGCTTATTTTGTGAATTCTGATAATCATAACATGATGCAGGCACAAAAGGGTAAGAAAAATACGACATCCAAAAAGAACCAGAAGCTCACTAAGAATGGCAGTGATGAGGAGGAGACTAATAATGGTGGAACAAATGGGCAGAGCTCTAGCTGCTACAGCTCAGAGGATGATTCCAATGCTTCTCATGAGCTGAAGGGAGGAACAAATTCAGACTCCAAAGGGCCTTCTGCGGCTCTCAACTCAAATGGGAAAACAAGAGCCAGCAGAGGGGCTGCAACCGATCCTCAGAGCCTCTATGCAAGGGTATAACCGATCTTCTACCATAATCGAAATGCATTGCAATATAAATGTTAATCTTCCAAAAAATTTATACCAAATCATTAACAAGAATGATATGACAGTTGTTTTTTATCAGAAAAAAAAAAACCTAGAATGTGTCACATCATTTTCTTTGCAGTAATTTTTTTTTGTTTATATATTATTTCTCGCTATGATTACATAAATTTTAGTTTCTTTCATTAATTCCTTATTGTTAATGTTGCAGAGAAGAAGAGAGAGAATTAATGAGCGATTGAGAATATTGCAAAACCTTGTCCCAAATGGAACAAAGGTAAACTAAATTAGAGTATGATCATCAAGTATTCTTGATCTTCATTAAAAAAAAGTTGTACAAGCATTTGAAATGCTGACTGATTTCTCTATGAATCAAATATATGACAGGTTGACATTAGCACAATGCTTGAAGAGGCAGTCCATTATGTGAAGTTTTTGCAGCTACAAATTAAGGTAATTAAGCACAGAGGTCATTCAGTTAATCATTCTTTATAATTATCCCTAGTTCATGGCCAATTAATTTCTGGTATTTAATTGTTCTTCTCTTTTCTTTTTTCTTTTTTTTTAATATTGTTTTATCATCGTGTAGTTATTAAGCTCTGATGACATGTGGATGTACGCTCCTATCGCCTACAATGGGATGGATATTGGACTCTACAGCAAAATTTCTCCAACTCTATGACATCTGAAGGACCTGCTCGAACAATTTTTTATTTTTTTCCTAAAATACAGCTGAGAGAAATTATCTATGTCGGCTTGTAATGGGTTATAATACATTATAAATATGTAAAATTCTTCTGCATTAATTTGATCATGAGGAATAATTCTCTTGTTTTATATATATAGTAAATCTAAAAATGTTCTTTGTCACATGGTTTGGGAGCCTAATTAGGGCTGCTTCAAGATACATGCATGCATGGAACTTTTTATTTAAAAAGAAATGATTTGAAAAAGAAAAAAAAAAAAGGAAGGAAATGCAATTTTGCAATGCTGATTTTTCATGTTGGGAAGTCTAAAGACTAAGACTGATCTTCTGAATGAAAGTTTTTTTAAAATAATGTTTTGAATGTTTTAGCAAAAACGATACACATATGTTCTTTATTCAATGGGAATTTACCAAAGAGCAAGGACGGGTCCAGGATTTTCATATAGGGAAGGCGAATATATATATACTAATAAAATTTTTAAAAAGAAAGTATGAATTATAATATCAATTTCTACTAGTTTAAAAGGTGAAAATAAGATGAAAATATATATAAATAGCATGTTTTTTGTATCCATATTTAGTTACAAAAAATAACAATTATAAAACAACTTATATATTAAAGTGAGGTATCTTGAATTGTTGAACTCGATATTAGTTCATGTCATTAAAAATGTTATGATATAATTGATATTAAAATCTTGTACAATATCTTTCTCAATGAACGTGATTGAGTAATTAGTTAATATCTTATTCAATTTTTTAGAAACTTGGACTTGTAATTAACAATAGTTATAACAAAGAATTTTTTATTTATTATTTTTGCCTATTTTTTTAATATTATATTTTGATCCTATGTTTCATGTATATAGAATGATAGTCACTTAAAATTTTTCTAAAAGAAGAAAAACGTAGAGGAGGGGGCGAATCTATATGATATATGTAAATAATTATAGCAAATACTACTATAACAAATTGTGTTTTTGAAATCTTAGGAGGTGATCATCCAAGAAAACGCCGCCCCCTCTAAGTCCATCCTTGCCAAAGAGAAAGAAAGAAATTAAGAAAGAATTCAAACAACAAAAGAACAGGAATTCAGGTAAACTACCAACATGTCCTAATAGTTTGGCTTAATTTTCATCAAGTTCTATTGAAAATAAGTCCTAGTAAAATTATCGCCAAAAATAATTTTTTATGACTTTTTTGCATGTCGCTAAAAATTGACAATTAATGATTTTTTGTGATGATTTTTATAAATTGTTGTTAAAATTTACAATTAGTGACGCTTTTCTATGACGAATTTTTTAAATTGTCACTGAAAATTAAAAATTAGTGATTTCTTTGTGACGATTTTTTTAAACTTACGCTAAAACTTATAATTAGTGACATTTTTTGTGACAATTTTTAAACTGTCGCTGAAAATTAATAATTAGTAACATTTTTTTAATAGTGTTTGATGAAAAATATCATTAATTATTATAGAACCTATTAGACAATAAATTTACTTGTTAGAATCTACACGAAATTTCTCCTGAGAGTTCTACATTTAACAAGAATATATAATAATTTAAGATTCCTCAAAAACATATATAAAGATTTTGCCATTTTTTGTTTTTTACATTGAAAGGGAAGAGTGAGTGAAACTCGTGGCATCCTACGTGGCACGTTAAAATTTAAATCTTAAGGCCCCGTTTGTTTGGGGATATAGAGAGGAGATTGAGATTATTAATCCCTTGGTATTATTAATGGGGTGTTTGTTTTGAGAGATGAGGGGGGACTATTAATCCCTTAGTATTAGTAGTCCCCTTGGAAGGGGGATTGGTAAGGAGGAGATAGAGATGGCATTAGAAACATAGTGAGAGGATTAGAAATTTTTTTATTTTTTATATATTGGGAATTTTTTTTAAATATTAATGTTTAATTTTTTATATTTTTTTATTTGTTTTATTATTTTATATAAAAATAATTTAACAATTTCTCACTATTAATCCTCTCACTATCAATCTCCTCACTAACAATCCCCTCATTATAAATCCCCTTCATTCTATCTTTGAAAACAAACGGGTCTAAGGAAAAAAATTGGCCATAAAGCCCTCACACTAATAATTTCCTTCTAAAAGTTCAAGGTTTAAATTTTTAATGCATAAAGTCCTTTCTGTCAATATTTTTAATGCATAAAATCCATAATCTAATAAGATTATAATTTTATGGACTATTTCACCCTCCTATTTGACAATCACGTGTACATACAACACATTCATCCAACCCAAGTTGCAAACACATAAAGCGAAGCGAAAGGAAAAGAGGGTCTCGATGAACTCTTCTTCACCTTTTCAGTCGATGATATTGTTACGTGCTATCTGTTATATTCAATGGTTATTCTATGTTTATTCTAGCAAGTCTCTTGATTTATAGTAACATCTAAAATGTTCTGCACATGGTTATTGAGGGTAGGAGCTTGAATTAGGTTGGTTCAAGATACACGGAACTATTCAATTAACCAAAATAATAATGACGGTTTTTTATGTCGTGAATAACATTGATATATATATATATATATATATACGTGTGTGTGAAAAATATATAATAATATATAACATAATTCAAGAGAATATGTGAAATATTTATTGAAGTTGTTAGTATATTATTCTATGTTAGTGTATATCAGCTGTTAGTAGCTGTTAGTAGGGTATATTTCTTTTCCTTTTACTTTACTTTATTAGTGCCACTTTCGGCTCCTCTCCTATATAGAGGAGTTCAACTGAACCTTTGTAATATCTGTAAAATAAATTGATGTATATTATTTAATTAAATGTTCGTAAGGGATTAGAAAGCCACATTGTGTGGGGGGAAAATATATATATATATATTGATAAGATCATCTAATTAAATGTTTGTAATAGGGCAGAGTAAGGAACCTGTATAATTTGCAAATTGACCAGGTCTACTCTAATCTAGTAGGTTTGTTTTATTTTTTTGAATGCGTGGTTCAGTCCTGAATTGAAAAATTGAGGAATCGTAATTCACGGATTGTTTCAATTTTCAGTTCAAGGTTCTGAATTAAAATCGATTCGGACTATTTGTAATATATTTTATATTTTTGCGACATAAAATAATTATTTTGAAATATAAGTTTTATGATTTTAACATCTCCTGTGAAGTCTTGTTTCTTTAGTTTTTTATTGGTAAGGTGGAGTGAAAATATTTGTTCATTTTGCTATACTTTGGCCAATTTTTTATTTGTTTGCTCATTGCATTACTATCATGTTCTAGTCCTCTGGTAAGAAAGTCTATAATTCAGAACAATTTTAACAAATCTTCTATGTACAGCCATAAAAAATGAATTAGCTCTGATTTTATTTCAAATCAAATTAATTCGGACCATGCTGATCCTAGTTCGCAAGGGATTAGAAAGCCACATTGTGGAAAACTGAAAAAAGGTAGATGCGCTAGAAGAAACGTTTGAGCCTTTGACCTTGTAATTAACAGCCACACGCTCTAGCCAACTGAGCTATTCCAGCTATCAGACTCAATACGATAAATATAATTATCTTTAAAGGGCCCACAACAGCATTGACCCGGTCTGAGCTGGGATGAAGGCCCAACAGTGCTTTCTTAAAGAAGCAATTTAAAATTTAAGTCCTGGCTTATTAAGGCCTTTGGAAAGTGAATTTTAAAGTCTCTTAAACTATATAAGCCTCCGTATGGGAAGTGGGTTGTCTTTTTGACTTTTTAGTTTTTTTAGCTATTTGAGCCTGGGTTCAAAAGCTTGATTTGAGAAGGTCTTTTTGATTTTTTGACTTTTTTTACTTTTTTTGTGAGAGAAGAGTGTAATGATAATAGGTTGGATGTGATGTTTTGTCTGGCTCAAAGAGCCCAAATGAGCTCTTCCCAAACGACACCAAAAGTGTCGTTTTTTTTTTTTAACATGTACACTTATTTGAATCACATTAATTAATATTTTTTTAATACATTTTTTTATAAAAATAATATTTGTGGATCTAGGATAACTTATTCTGCGAATATAATACTCTCATGTCTGAGATAATTTTGTATCGGTGAGAATAATTTTTTTGGAATAAGAATTTTGTTACAAAATAACTAAAATGACCTTTAAAATAAATCATCTTAAAATAACTTTATCATTTCTTATATATGAACCAAACTTTGACTTTAGAGTTCAATTTTTAGGCTTAATAGCTTGGCCATTTCTATATACATATTCATTAAATGAGGCCTCTTTGAAAATAAAGAAGAAAAACTCTTTTAAAGCATTGTGTTTTAGGGATTAGATGAAGAGCATATTTGAGTAGGAGGGGGTCATTTAAAAACTAAAATGTATTTTTTAAAATAATTTAGTTCATAAAAATAAATAAATAATTTAAATTAAAAAAATTAATCAAAAATTTTAAATTTAAATTGATGAAATTAAAACTTAAAAATTTTCTCTAATTTTTTGTTTTATTTATTTCCAGGACTACGTAGTTAAGAAGAATTTTGAAAGCAAAAATTTTATATGAAAAAAACCCTAACTTTATTATTATTATTTTTTCAACCATTAGTGGTCTTTTTTTCAAAGACAATTATTTTTAAATTTTGAGGGTGACCTAAAAATAAATAATATAGAAAATAGGGAAAAAATCACTAAAAACATATTTACGAAACCAGTCCCAAATGAAGAAAATAAATTTATAAACCGAACTTTATACATAAAAAAGTCAATCAAAATAATGTTATGACAACACTTTACAAAGTAATAATAATGTTATGACAACACTTTACAAAGTAATAATATCATACAAATAAAATTTGTACATAAAAACTTCATACAAATTAAAACGAGTAAAAAAGTTATCGGATAAAGATTGGTAGCTCTAAAATCCCTCCCCCTAATCCCCCTAATTTCCTTTTTTTTCTTTTTTTAAAACTTTTTTTTTTTTTTTTTTTTTTTTTTTTTTTTTTTTTTTTTTTTTTTACTTGAAATGGCAAATTCGGGGGATTCGGGCTCCCCCCTTTCGGGGGATGAAACACTGCCCAAAAGTTATCACTACAAGTCATAATTACAAAAAGACTATTATCACGTCATTACGAATACTTTTATTTATATAAATTATATATATATTCTTTTTCTTTATAAAAATTACATATATTTAAGGGCAAATAATTAAAAAATTTATCACTACAAAAGTACAAAAATACTGTTATCATGTCATTATGAATACTTTTCTTTATATAAATCATATATATATATTCTTTTTCTTCATAAAAATAACATATATTTAAGGGCAAATAACAAGATAGTAGCATACAGAAAAAATAATTACATATATAAGTGATAAGCATTATAAATATTAATATTTTTTTAGAAAAACCTACCCCTCAATTGTAATTCCCCTATATTTAACACTTTTCTTTCTGTAATTTTAATAAACTGTTATGAAAAAAAAAAAAAACAAACACACGCATGCATGCACCAGCCCTAAGAGCAGTCAGCCAAAACTAAGAACTTGGTGAACATAAGATTTATCAACCTCATACCAACATCCATTTAACCATTAACTTATTTCATTGATGTTTGAAACAAATGTTTCTGAATAGGATAAACGAAAGAATTTTGACAAATTACACAGATCTAATGTGTGTTCACAACAATGTCCCTAACTATAAATCAAAGTAGTTCCCATTTTATGGTATCATATCATCATATGGGTTAACAATAATATAAATATTAAGATAAGGAAATACTTCTTAAAGCCTCAAATGTTTGGAAGAATTTAGAACTCATCACCTAAACCAACTGCATAGTGCCCAGTGTTCTTATCCTGCACCACAAAACACCAACACATTACCCGGATTAGCCAATGGAAAATTTGTTGAAGCAGAATAATGGCTGGCTATTACAGAGAAATTGATAACTAAATGAAAATATAGTTGTGAAAAAGGAAAATTATTTTATTATGATCTTTGTACAACTATAATTCTTAGCATGAAAGATTTCAAATAAGTATTATTACATAGATATTTTCAAATCCATCATAATCTATCATAGTATAGCTTATCAAATTCAATCTTGAAATCCATATCAAAACTTGGAACTATTCTCCTTGAATAATTATTCCTCAAAACTAATATCCTATCAAGTCCATATAATCCAAATGCATCATAATTTTAATGTCACTTTATTAAGCAAGCCACATGAACCACAAAACATCCTCAATCAGGCATCTGAGATCAAGTGATGGAATTGGAACACCATATCAAATAGGCAGATAAATCTTAAAATTAACCATTTTCGCACAATATTGCATCGTAAGAGATATAAGTTGCAAGATTTTGTAGATGAGTCGCGGTAATTAATTTAGACTCATCATCAAATGCATTATTGTAATAATAAACTACCTGCGAAAACATTCGCTGCTTGTTGCGATATTGTGTCCTCGCCTTGTTCACGACCGAGTTTGGTGACTTGTACAATCTCTGTACAAAGAGTGAATGACTTTAAAAGGGGAACAAAGAAAGGATCACAGATTCAAAGAAAGAATAGACTAATACAAAATCCCTAGCAAATATCTATATAAATCCAACACAAATTAACAAGGAATTAGGTCCCAACATTGTCCTGAATAGAAACCACTTCAAGCCTTCTGCATAGAAAACCCAAGTTGGCAATGGGCAAAGCATAATAACTAGCACATTGTTTGATTGGTTAAACATATATTTTAAAAAACTTACGGCTTCAAATAAAACTGGTTTAAACCTGGTAAAGGTTTAGCGGCCACTACTTGATAAGAGTAGCAGCATTAGTTTTTGCAGAATAGATTTCAAAGACAACTACCATCTAATCAACCAAAGTTTGAATCAAGATTGAGAGAAGTTAATAAATGCTAAGGTTTTTTTTCCTTAAAATCAAAAAATCAGAAAATTTAGATTGGGAGATTGGAGCTCCCACAAGACTTGAGGTTAAAACCCCCCTTTTGTTTAATATATAGTATAGATAAATGTATAGATATAGATAGATATAGATATAGATAGATATTATATTAAAGTTTAATATTTTGATAATAATCATATGTGTTGAAATTTTCAAAGAATTTTGTTTACGCCAATCTTTAATGCATTAAAGTTTAATTATGAGAAGGTTTTGACCAAATCTCCCAAAAGGCATAGGAGTTGAAAGAAATTAATAAATGCTGACATTTTTTTTTTTAAATCAAAAAATTAGAAAATTAGGATTGACATATTGAAGCTTCCACAAGCCTTGGGGGTTAAAAACCCCCTTTTACTTAATATATAGTATAGATATATATTCTTTTTCTTCATAAAAATTACATATATTTAAGGGCAGATAACAAGATAGTAGCATACAGAAAAAATAATTACATATAAGTGATAAACATTATAAATATTAATAATTTAAAAAAACAACCTACCCCTCAATTGTAACTCCCCTATATTTAACATTTTTCTTTGTGTAATTATAATAAACAGTTTCGAAAAAAACAAAAAAAACAAACACACGTACATGTACCAGCCCTAAGAGCAGTCTTCGCCAAAACTAAGAGCTTGGTGAACATAAGATTATCAACCTCATACCAACATCCATTTAACCATTAACTTATTTCATTGATGTTTGAAACAAATGTTTCTGAATAGGATAAACGAAAGAATTTTGACAAATTACACAGATCTAATGTGTGTTCTCAACAATGTCCCTAACTATAAATCAAAGTAGTTCCCATTTTATGGTATCATATCATCATATGGGTTAACAATAATATAAATATTAAGATAAGGAAATACTTCTTAAAGCCTCAAATGTTTGGAAGAATTTAGAACTCATCACCTAAACCAACTGCATAGTGCCCAGTGTTCTTATCCTGCACCACAAAACACCAACACATTACCCGGATTAGTGAATGGAAAATTTGTTGAAGCATTATAATGGCTGGCTATTACAGAGAAATTGATAACTAAATGAAAATATAGTTGTGAAAAAGGAAAATTATTTTGTTATGATCATTGTACAACTATAATTCTTAGCATGAAAGATTTCAAATGACTATTATTACATTGTTATTTTCAAATCCATCATAATCTATCATAGTATAACTCATCAAATTCAATCTTGAAATCCATATCAAAACTTGGAACTATTCTCCTTGAATAATTATTCCCCAAAACCTTTCATTTCTCAAATGCATAAAATCCAAATGCATCATAATTTTAATGTCACTTTCTTAAGCAAGCCACATGAACCACAAAACATCCTCAATCAGGCATCTGAGATCAAGTGATGGAATTGGAACACCATATCAAATAGGCAGATAAATCTTAAAATTAACCATTTTCGCACAATATTGCATCGTAAGAGATATAAGTTGCAAGATTTTGTAGATGAGCCTCGGTAATTAATTTAGACTCATCATCAAAACATCCAACCAGCAATAAATACAATAAAACTGCAGGTAAAAGATAGGCTCTGGGTTATTTTTATTGTAATAATAAACTACCTGCGAAAACATTCGCTGCTTGTTGCGATATTGTGTCCTCGCCTTGTTCACGACCGAGTTTGGTGACTTGTACAATCTCTGTACAAAGAGTGAATGCCTTTAAAAGGGGAACAAAGAAAGGATCACAGATTCAAAGAAAGAATAGACTAATACAAAATCCCTAGCAAATATCTATATAAATCCAACACAAATTAACAAGGAATTAGGTCCCAACATCGTCCCGAATAGAAACCACTTCAAGCCTTCTGCATAGAAAACCCAAGTTGGCAATGGGCAAAGCATAATAACTAGCACATTGTTTGATTGGTCAAACATATATTTTCAAAAAATTAAAACAGCTTCAAATAAAACTGGTTTAACCCTCTTTGAGAGGTGGTAACACAATTATCATCAAGTGACTAATGGAATAAGCAATAGAAAGTACAAATCCAAAAACATGATAGGTAATGCATGCAGAACCAGTGTTGGCAGAAAACATTAATATAGCGATTTACATCTTAGAATGCACATTTTGAAATATGATACACTTTCATTCCAAAACAATAAATTTAACTATACAAAGTGATCCAAAAATTTTCCGCTACATATTTCCTTAGAATGAAAAAAACAAAAAACAAATATAACAAACTAAAATCTAAATATAGTGAAGTTTGGGGCATGGAAAAAGAAAAATAATAATAATAATAATCTTAAAAGAGGCCATAATGCTCCTATAATTTTGTTTTTTCATGATTAAGTTGAAAAATAATATACGACATTTCATTTGATGTCAAATTGTTAATAGAAAATTGTTCTAATGTATAGAAGTACATTAAATTGTAATAGTGTAACATACAAACCTACCCCTACTGTACCACATTTTAGACCCACATGCTATGTTGTTCCTAGAGAAAATTGAATAAAATTGCTGTGCAAATGGCATGAACTAACCTTATCACTAATAGACATACGAGGCTCATTTCCTGGAAGCTGCTTTCTCTTTGGTGTGAACCCAAAGACCTCATGAAGAAATTCATTTTCCTGTTTAACCCAAAGAAAAAAGAGGCAATTGGATAAGAGAAAAATTAGCAAACAAAAACCTATCCCCCCAAAAAAAAAGAAATGAAAGCCAAGGTAAGATTAAGAAAAAGAACCTGCATGTGTTTAACAAATCCTCCCCCAATAAAATGCTTTAAGAAGTTCAGCTGTTAAAAGAAAAAATAAAAAAACATAACGGCAAAAAAACTTTGAGCATGGGAAACACAGAAAGTGTAAGCATTCACATCCAAAAACCCGATAGAAGAGTAAAGGAGGAACCTGTATCAGTTGAGACCATGATGTCGTGTTCAGAGACTCGCCTCCTATCTTCATTGAGGTTTCTGGAGGATAACCATCCTGATATTCATATAAAATAAGAATATTATAATAGGCAACACAGGAAATAAGAAGGTGTATGTGGGAAATTAATATAGCAATACCTCAAGAAACTCAAGAATGTCTCGGAATATGTTCCGCTGACTGTTAAGATCTTTCTTAGCAGACCCTTTACCAGCTGCCTCCGTAGAAAGATTTCTCACTTGACTTAGGAATTTCCCCCTCAATCCCTGTATATGTGCAACCTCTCGAGAGACAGAGCTGTCACTAGATGCTTTAGCTTCACCAGAGAACTTGAAGTTTCCTATCTCAAAAATTAAGGCAAGTGCTTCGCCAGCTGCAATGCGCACGGATCTATCATCCTTGTCTAGCAGAGTAGAAAAATAAGAAATCGACCTACATCATTAGCAGAACAGGGTAAATTCTTTTAATTAAATTTCTTTCCACAGCAACAATTGACCTTACAGTCCAACACTAAATATTCGACATTTTTGGGAGGTTTCAATGTCTAAATCCCAAAACTCTCACATACCCAACAAGCATAATAAAGAAACCATATTAGGGAGGAGAGAGACTTACATGTGTGCACATTATTGTATTTTAATGTGCAGTATAATACACGCATAAAATGAGAGAGAGAGAGAGAGATCATTGAAACTAGAGACCAAGATTTACTCACTCTTGCCAGATTTTAGGATCAATTGTCCATCCCTCCATAGTGGTAAGAAGAAATGACCAAGCAGAAACCATTGCTGTTATTACACCTGGTGAAGGTTTAGTGGCCACTACCTGATAAGAGTAACAGCATTAGTTTTCGCAGTATAGATTTCAAAGACAACTACCATCTAATCAACCAAAGTTTGAATCAAGATCTAAATCTACAGCATTACATATCAAGGCATCTCAAGTTGACGTGAAGAGCATGCTTATAAATTTCTATTAGCTACAATTTACAAAACGTGCCAACAAAATGAAATATATATAAGATGACCTCATTTGAGGCATTTCAAATACAACTGAGTAAATTGTGCATACATACATTGGCAGACAGTTTTGGATGAACCACATGCCACATCATTTGCATTGATTTTTCTGTTTCCTCTTGCTTAGTTCCACCAACAAAAGTGATAATAGCCAAACACTCTAGTAACTGCAATAAAAAGTCCGTAATATTTTAAGATAGCTTGCAGGAATAAAAACCCAATCAACATCAGCTGTATAAGTATCAATATCAAACATACCGACGAAATCTTTGATGTTTCAGAGCCAGATTTGAGAGCTTGTGAAATAGGAGGAACAGAATCTTCCAATATTTCCTGAGCTTTTTCCCCAGGACCAGTGGTCAGAGCCAGCAATCCTACAAAAATACATATCTCAAACACTACTCCAAATCAAACAAAATGAGTAAAACAAAGGGTCAAAGAGTTACCAATGGCATGAGCTGCTAAAGCTATCTCCTTAGCAGACCCCTTCTTGATCGAATTCAGACACTGATGCAGCAAAGTAGCAAACCTAAGGAAAAAACACCACATGAATCCATAAATATGCAGTGTTTCATAAATGTACAAACATGCAGAGCTGGTGCAACTGTGCAACCCAAATAATTCTACAGTTCAAAACTTAAATATACACTGATAGTTAAGCAGATGATTCAACAATCGAACGTAATCTCTCTCTCTCTTTTTCTTCTTCATTTTCTCACCCTAATTTTCAATTTCAGTTTACGAACTTCATTAAAATTAAGTGACAGTGCAGAGCACACAACTATAGATAGAGAAAAAAAAAACAAACCAATCCTCAAAAAAAAAAAAAAGGTCCAAGAACATATTCAGAGATTGGTATAACGAAATCAATTGTGGTCAAAAAAACAAAAACATCAATGCATGCCAGGTCAGACTGCTTGCATGAAATAACATGTCATTAGATCACATCAAAGCAAAGATTGATGTTACATGAACAAACAGTGACATCAATATTTGAAGAATCACAAACAACTAAAAGAAAAAAAAATCATAAGTTCCCTTACTCTAGAGACTTTTGAATGCTATCAAAAAATATCAATTAATCCAAACAAACATTTTTTAAAAAAAAATACAAGACAAGACAATAAAAATCCTTACTTCTTTTCCACAAACTCGTGCTGCAAATTGCTACTAAAAGCCTCTATAATTGATGCCAAGGCTTTCTCTCTCGTGGACCCCCTTTTTCAAAAAACAAAAACAAACAAACAAAATTAGCATTCAGCTAAAACGAGAGAAGTACTGCATCTTAATTAAACTACCAACATTATTGTGGTTAACAATTCTGCAAATTTCGCATAATTTACGTTCGATTCCCTTTTATAGCACAATTTAAGAATACCCAGATAATTAATTTTAATTTTAACTAACAATAAGAACCTTTTTTCGTATAAATCATCTATGCATCGATCAAGCAAACTCTCGCTGCCCAGCTGCACTTCTTCAGCACCGGACACCGCCATGTTATCTGATCGAACAGTCGACGACGAACTCACACTATCACTATCATCAGTATCCAACATTGCAGAATTCTTACGTTGAGAACTACCTGTAAAAACCCAAATTTTATTAAATAAAATTCACACCATATTAAAAGTGAAGAACTTTAAGCAAAATTCGAACGCTTTTATTGGGGTTTTGCTTAATCTGCTGTTGTTAAAGCTAAATTACAAAAAAAAAAAAAAAATCAAAACAACGATTCGAACATGATATTAACAGAACCCTAGCCCGTCAAATCCCGAAACCCTAGAATCAATAGATACACAAATATATATATATATATATATATATATATATATAAACAGGACTTACGCTTTCCCATTGGTGACAGCTCTCGATTGCAGATGTCAGATGAAGATACAAGATTGACAAGGAATCAGACGACGAAAAGATTTGGAGAAGAAGAGATCGGAGGGATGAGAAAAATGAATCGAAAGAAGAGAGATGAACTGAGTTGAGTCGATTGACAATTTATCCATTAAAGTTTTGAAGGGAATCGAAAAGAGAAACCTCTTTCTCGGTCTAGATTTGGGGGTTGTGTAGATTCACGTAGAACCAGATGGATTACAGAGAGAGAAAGGGAATTTATAATTGTGAAGACGGGAAAAAAAGAAGGGAATTGGGGAATTGTGGGGGTCTTTGGTGCTCTGGATCTGGAATATTCGACGAGGGTGCGGGCAAGAGCAGCCCAGTGGGGCTCATGACGTGGCGAAATCAAGGCCTTGTGTTGAGATATCATGCCCCTTTGTTTTGGGAGATAGAATGGAGGGGATTGATAGTGAGGGGATTAATAGTGAAGGGATTGATAATGAGGGGATTAGTAGTGAGGGGGATTAATAGTGAGGGGATTAATAGTGAGGAATTATTAAATTATTTTTATATAAAATAATAAAACAAATAAAAAAATTAAAAATTATATTTTAAAAAAAATTTCCCATATATAAAAAATAAAAAAAAATAAAAAATTTTCTAATTCCCTCACTATTTTTCTAATACCATCTCTATCTCCTCCTTACCAATCCCCTCTCCAAGGTCATGTTTGATTCATAAGATTAATAGTGAAGTATTAATAGTCCTAGTAAATTAGTGTGGTATTCACTATCCAATTGGATTAATATCCATTGGATTAATAATCTCACCCCTACCCCATTACTAATATTTCTACAAATTTGTTGGATTAATTATCCATTGGATTAATAATCCTAAACCAAAATGTTAAAACAAACATAAGATAATTGGGTCCACGGATTAATAATCCCAATCCCACGCTCTAATCCACCCAATCAAACATGCCACAAGGGTATTAGTAATACCAAGGGACTAATAGTCCCAAGGCCTTCTCCCAAAACAAACAAGGCTATTACTAATACCTTGGTATTAACAATCTCAATACCCTCTCTTTCATCCAAAACAAACGGTGCCTCAGAGAGTTAGCGGGATGGAAAAGTTATTGGCTAGTCCAGAGACACTGTAAGGTGGTGTCATGTATGTTTTGATTGGTGAAAATATGACTTAATTGGTGAAGATATGACGTATAATTTTCTATTAAGTAATTAAAAATTTAAGAGGCGGAAAAATTTGTAACTGATAAAAACATGGCTATATAGTTTTCTTAGACTAATTAATAATTTTTGACGAGCTACTGGTGAAAAAAGAGAAAAAAAAAATTATTAATGTATGAAATACAAATGTGTTGTAAATAAAAAATTATGAGCCATGTATTGATAATTTTTTCACGTGCTCCTGAGTAATCCCCATAATTTTTCGAGGGTGTGGGGGTGGTGGCGTGTGGTGCGCCACGTGCTAGTTAGAGAAGAGAGAGGAGAAAGAGATGGGAATACACGTGGCATCGGGACACGTTGAAAGAAGTGGATGTTCCCAATTTCGATCTCGGAGCGTGGGAATGCAAAAATATTAAAATTTTAAAAAAAATATCTGAGTATAATTTTTATTAAGGCCTCGTTTGTAAATCTTTCTTTTTAATTAAAGAGTCAAAAAATTATTAAATTAAATAAAAAGTCAATAATTCATATAAAAAAGTTAGAAATTTTCTTTTCTTTCTATTTTTTGCACATCTTTTCGTAAAAAATTAAAAAATTATTCCAAACATACTAATTTTTTTAGCTCATATTTTAATCAAATAATCAAAAAGTTACTAAATTAACCTATTACCAAACGAAGCCTAAATGTCTTATATAGATATAATAGAAGTCTCACATTTATATAAGACTTTTATGTTGTGTTTGCTTAAAAAATTTGAAGAGAGATTTTAAAAAAAAAAAAAAAAAAGTCTGAAATTAAATGAAATATAAAAATATTTTATTCAAATTTTACTTATTTTTTTAAAAAAATTTCTCCTTAAATTTTTTGATCAAATACAATATTAATAAAAAACTTGATAAAACTTTCAAGATCAGTAATATTACTTCTGAAAATGTAGACGAGAAAATAAAAAGACGGTAAAAACAGACCGGATGTTAGTACAAGGAGTTTGTCCTGTCTGTAAATTTTGTTTGTAACCGGTCATATTTATGTCCTACAACAATCATTCATCCCACTAAAAACATCACTACTAATAGCATTAATACATTAAAAAAATAAAAAAAAAATATAACTCCAAGACCAAAACATAATTTTAGAGTCTTTTTTTTTTTTTTTTAAAGCCAATAAGCCTATAATTAGAAATAAATTTTTAAATAGACTGTTTGTTTAAAAAGTATTTTTAGTACTTTTTGCTATTTGATACAATAGAAAATAAAAATTAAATAAAAATATTTTTTATAATAAATAAAAAAAAATCTATAAAAACGTTGTTTAGATTATAGTTTTATTAATGTCACTATATTACAAACATTATTCTTACCACCACCATCACGCCACAGCCACTGCCACTCCATAAGACTGCCCTGAGATAGGGCGAGTAGGTCGTTGTCTCGGACTCCTAAATTTTATCTAAAAAATAGAGCCCAAAATAATTTTGATATTAAATTATGTTTGGTTAATTATTTCGATTTTAAATTATATTTGGTTTATTAAAATAAAGTTAAACAGAATAATCACTCTATCATAATGTTCATTTTCACATTTGATTTACTAATATTACAAATGAAATCATTATTCACCATTTTGAGGGAATGATAATTTTATGACTAAGGAATGACCATTTCATTCAATTCAATTTTATTTTAATGAACTAAACACTACATTATAATATTAATAGTTTAAAAACAAAAGTTTAAACAAATAATTGAATTGGTAAATTATTTTAAAATAATAGATAATTGTTTGCCAAATGTTTGAATTATTTATAGAATATTGTTTCCGGATAAATATATTTTTTTAAAGTAGAAGTTAATTAAAATTTATAATTTAATTTACTACATCAAGAAAAAGTGTGCATAAATTAGTAGTGTCAACAATCAAAAATTTTCAAAATTTATTTCAATAATTATGATTTACGTTAATAAGTATGAGTACCATGCAACAAATTTGTAAAAAGTACAAATAAAAAATAAAAAATATTACTATTTTACCAATATATATATTAAAATATATATGAGAGTAGGATCTCATCTTTAAAAAGTTTGGTTAGTCCTGCCACTCTGCCACCTCCACCTTTGGTCCACCATCACTAAATATAAAAAAATATTTTTCAATATATTAACACAAACGGAGGGTACATGAGAATATAAAAATATACGTTGTTATTGGTATAAAATTGAGATAAAATAATATTTTCACTTTAGATTGCTAATATCTCAACGGCAACAAAAAGTCACAATCACTTAATTTTATTTTATTTTTTACAAAATAAACATAATTTGTATGATCCACTAAATTACTAATGCTAAGGCGGATAGTTTTGTCTATAAATTAAGAAGGGGAGGTAAGTAATAACGTAAGCGAACATGAACAAGAAGTTATCATAAGTTGTCTTATTGTTCCACGTAATCAATTGTGCCACTCTACGTTGCTTCCAAATAACAGATTTACTAATGGCGTAACCCAAACAACTTTTTTTTTTTTTTTTCTTAGATTGAAGCGTAACCCAAACAAATTGGTCGCTAATTAATGATAGTCAAAATTCTTATATCTCCTTCGTTAATATAAGATATTAATTATTATTTTAGAATCTCCACCACTTAAGTAGGTATTTCAAAAAAAAAAAAAAAAGGGTAAAATAAATTGAGTTTTTTTTCATAATATTCTAAAAAATAAACTTTTTACAGAAATAACACACTTTTTAAACCATTTAACAAACTTTACTTTTTAAAATTGTGTTTCCAAAATGTAATTTTATGACAAAATCACATCTTTAAAATACACTTTCATGATAACATGCCCACATAAAGTTGCCAACGTGACTATGGCTTCGTTTGGGATGTGTGTTATCTTTTTGACATTTTATCTATTTTAGTCTAAGATTAAAAAGTCTCATTTTGGATGAATTTTTTTGACTTTTTAACTTTTGTTGAAAAAAAAAATAAAATGATTGTAGTTGACATTTTGTCTTATTGACTTTTTAGTATATTTTGTCATTTTGTGACTATTTTAGCTTTTTAGCCCCAAAAATCTCCATGCCAAACGAGAGCTATATTGAAATCTTATTTTGAAAATGCAAGTTTACTATAAAGTTACATTTTCAAAGCGCAATTTTAACACTACCATAAAATTACGTTTTCAAAACACAACATTAATGCAAATATGATGTTTCAATACTCATTTTGAGCCGAGATTTCAACATAATCTATCATTTTGAAAATGAAAAAATAAAGATTGGGTATCACATTTTGAAAATGAGATTTTAGTTAAATCGATTTTCAAGAAATCCTAGGGGTGTTTGACATGCTTAGCACATTATCCTATTTAGATCACAATTATCTTATTTGAGTCATATCACCTCTCTACCACATCAGTTCAAATCCAACCCATATTTCACTTTTTCGTAAAAAGTCAAAAAAAATATACTTATTTACATCATCCCAAATACCTTCTTAATTTAGAAAATACAATTTTACCGAATCACAATTTGAAAAAGCAAAATAATGAAATTGCAATTGCAATTTCAAAATGTAATTCTATGTTGAAAAATAGTTAATGTAGCAACCTTATTCGTATATAATCCAAATTAATACGATTTCATTACATAAAAATAAAAATAAAAAAGTTCGTTATCTTAACTATTCAATGAAATCACATTTATGTATTGAATAAAATTTTGCTATCTTAAATATTTTTTAACGTGAAATCATATACCATGTATACTAACTCTATTTGGTTTTGTTTTGAGAATTTGATTTTTACAAAAAAATTTAAAATATTCTATCTTTTCGAAGAGCATACATAATCTTTAAAAATTTAAAAATTACTTTTTAATTTTTATTTTTTGTCAAATTAATTTTTAATTCTTTAAAAAAAAGTAATAATAACATATTCTGAAATTAAACCATTCATTTTTATTTTGTATTTTGAAATTGTGTATAGCGATCCCGGGTTTGTCCCCTTTATGTACAGTGTTCCGGTCGTAGGTTCCGTGGAGTTGGTGGTTGTATGTCATGTTGTCATCCTTTAGATTCCGTATGTCTGAGTTTTAGGATGTGTTGGGCGTGTTTCGAACAGGCTGGTTGAGCCTTAGTCCCTT